GACCCGTACCCGTTTTACCCGTACCCGTTTTACCCGGCCTGTACCCAGCCCACCCACCCGTTTTGCCAGGTCTAAATTAATCGGGTTAGGGCTTGTTCACTTGGTGATCTCTCTGTAATTCAGGGCAGTAGTTATGATGAAGGTTGCGTTTCCTTTAAGGGCTAGAGTAGTGCTCTAGAGTCTAGTGAGTTACAGTAGAAAGGGGTTAGAGTGTTTAAGCCTGGTTTCTGGCTCCGTATGATCAGTAGATCAAGATTGTATTTCTTGTATAATTTGTTGATAATCCTAGTGCAGTGAGTCTCCTTATTTTGGAGCTCAACGTGGATTAATAAGGAGACTCAATGTGGATGTAATCTATCCAATATTGGATAGGTGAACCATGGTAAAAAGATTGCCTTTTGTGTGTGATTGTTTGTTTCTTGCTTGATGATAAATTAGTTCTTGAATTGGTGAAATTAGACTCAGATTACAACAAAACTTAAGTTCTTGAATTTATGGAGTATCACATTGAACTTTGAGACTCATAAAACTGCATATTGATTCAGCCAATATAACCTAAAAAAACCCTTTTAATACTAGAGAAAGAAAACTCTTTTAGATAAGGCTACGTTCCCTGAAACCAAGATATTTACTTTGCTATATAGAGTTGTGCATAGTCTGTAAATTAGGACAGAGAGAAAGCATTAGAAAGGAACATATCAACAAATAAAAAGACAAACCAATTCCAACAATATATTAAATCTTGAATAACAACATGTAATGACAACATCAATCATTTGAATTTAAGTGAATGTGAGGGGACAAACATATATATATATATATAAACAAAGTTTTTTTTGAGACCTTTGAGATACCACTATTTAATTGTTATTAGTATTTAGGTGAATGTGAAATGGTTAACATGAATCTATATGTCTTTTAATTAGACATTTGGATGCCCAATACGTACTATTAATACTAATAAATAGCAATTCTAGAGCTGTAACTGAAATCCTACATGTATATTTTACATATTCATAAAGCGTTTGTATCGAAAAGTTGAATGTGGAGTGATTAAACCTTTGGAATGTCCAATAAAATAAAATCACTAATTTATAAATATGTCATTAATTGAATAAAATTTTTTATGATTAAAATTTGGGAGGTGAATGGTTAGTATTAATGAGAATGTGATATAGATATTTTAATTTTTAATTTAAAGTTGAATGGTTCATTTAACTTTTAGTTACATCCACTAACTATCAACCGATCACATCATAGCACATTAATTACTGACACTTGCAATAAGTATAGAACTCTTAAGATCCTATGTGGCATCCTACGTAGAGTCCAAATGACGATCAATAGAGAATGTGAGCTTCAGGATTATATAGATATATAGATTATATGACATAAGTATATAGAGTAAAATAACTATCAATATTTTAAAAAATAAAAATAAATTTATATGTAAAGCAATTAAAATTTTACAATTTTTTATTGCTTATAAGTTATAACATGTATATCCCATTGCAAATTTTCATCCGCTGTTAAACTATAATTTTGTTCTAATAATAATTTGAATAGTATAAAAAAATTAGGTTATTTGAGATAATAGTAGGGAGTCAAAAGTATTTATAAAAATAGGAAAATCAAATTAATTTTAGTAATTTAATATAAGGATAAATTTGTCCTTATAACATTTATTAAAAAGTTGGGTTTTTTTTAGTCCATTAACGGGGTGCTAGTAAATCACTCTTATAGATATCTAAATCCAAATCCAAAAATTATATTATTATAAGTATTTAAAAATGTATTAAAATTATTTTTTATATAAATTATTAGTTAACTAATAATTCAGTAAAAAAAAATCAAAATATTAATCTGGTCAGTGGTGCTTAATTATAGGTCAAGGCTGGTCAACGGGGGCGCGGTACAAACATAGTAGGTTCCATCAAGACCGACAATCCTTGATTTATAGGTTTTTTGGTGATTTCACCAGATTCCAATGCTTATTTAAACTGTAGAAGGCAGTCAAATATTTCGTCACCTGTTTGTAACACCCACAGTGAGGTATGGAATTTTATTCATGTCTTAAAGTCTTTATGCCTTTATTTCAAGCTGAATGCATGAAAATTTGTTGAAGAAAAATTTTGCAAACTTCGCCGCGGCATTTTACATTCTGCCCAAATTCGTGGCAGAAATAGGCAGCTTCGCCGGGGCGAAGAACACCCTGGAAATTTTAGTGATTTTGGGAAAAATCTTGCTCAAGGGCAAAATGGTCATTCCACCCATAATTAGTTGAAAGTGTGGGGAGTGAAAAGATAGAATATCATGAAGAATGCAATGGAATGATGACTTTTTGGTAATTAACTAAGGGACATAGATGAAATTTCAAAGGAAAATATAAGGGTAAAATGGGAAGCTATGAATAACTTTTTGTTATATTAAGAGATTAAGATGAAACCGTAGCCATTCTTCTTTGCCTTTCACGCCACTCTCTACCCAAATTCTCTCAAGTTCCTTCAATCAATTTTCAAAGGAAATTCATAGATTTTGGTCTAAGTTGGGTAGATTTTCAATCCTAAGCCTCACGGTAAGACTCTTGCACCCAAATATGAGTTTTAATTTTTGTTAAGTGGTGAATTCTTATGGTTGTTGTTAATAAGGTGTAAGAGAAAGAAAGTTGTTTCAAGAGAAGACTAGAGCGTTGAGTTGCTCACTTTCAAGGTAAGTAAATCCAAACCAAGTTATGATTTGAACTCAATTGAGTAGAGAATTTTTACATGTATGTATGTGCTGATAATTTTGAAAATTGTTGATGAGATTGATGTTTATTGATGAATAGACTTCAGTCATGAGAAGATGAATTTGTTGTATGGTGATTGATGGAAGTTTGGTTGAATTTAGAAAGAGTTTGAGTAGAATTTATGGAGTGTATTTTCTTGGCCAGGTTTAGTATTGATTTAAGCGAGTTTTACTCCAAATATTGGTGGCTTGAGAAAGAAGTAGAAGTGTAGCTAAATTAGAGTTTGAGTGTGCATGCAATATGTTTGATGAAATGTCCAAGAGAAGTGTATGCATGAGTTTATTCACTTGTGATCTTAATATAAGCTTGTAGATGGTAGAGAATGACTTATTTTTATGTTACATGCCATTTTTGCATTTAAACATTTGCATTTAGAAAGAATAACAAGCATGAGCCATCTACATGCATACATATACATACGTATGAGAACTTAAAGAATAAAGAGAAAGAAAGAAAATCTATTAAAGAATGCTTTAAAAGAAGAAAAGAACAGGTTGTTGCAATGGGGAACCCGTGAGTGACAGAAGAGAATAGCCCCACATGCACGCCGCCTTCAGTGAGCGGCCTTAGAATCAGAAAGAAGAAAGAGTACAGTTCGTTAGAAATGCATGTAAATGAGAACTGTACCAACAGAATATATCTATATGCATGTCGCTTTCAGCAAGTGACTACAGAATAGAAAAAAGAATTGTACAGTCCGTTAGAAGTGCATGTAGATTAGGACTGTATCCACTCACATGGTCAAGGTTCCAAATCTATGCCTCAACCGAGTCCGATCGGCAAAGAAAGAATAAAAAAGAAAGAAAAGAAAGAATAGAAAGAAAGAACATAAAGAATGGAAAGAAAGAAAGAAAGAAAGAAAGAAGAATAGAATACAAAAAGAAAGCATAGAACACATAAAAGAAAGAAAGAAGAGCAACAAAAAATAGAAAACAGAAAAGGAAATGCATTCGTGTATGCATTTATGCACATGCATCACGTCATTTATATTATTCAGAATTAGTTTCTCTAGTGGTGCTTACATGTTAGTAAGTGAGAGACTAGAACATAGAAAGAACAGAGAGAAATAATAGAAAAGAACAGAGAAGAAGAAAGAAATGTTTGTAAGGAAAGAACTTCAGAATTTGAACAAGAGAGAGAGAGGAGTAGCTTAGCGGGTTTACTTACTCAGTAATTAGCGCTCACCCCATTGTTTTCAATGTTTTTGCAGGTAGGAGATAAGATGCGGTCGAAGGGAATGTCATGAGCAGAAGGGTCTAGCAACCACTGTCAAGTTTATTTTGAGCACTTTTATTTCTTAATGTATAGTTTTGTGTATATAGAAGAAATGGGCCCAACTTTTGTATACTCATTTACATGTATAGATTTTCCTATTTATATGAGTTTTACTGTTTATTTTATGAGTATACTAGCTAAAGAGAGAAAACATTACACTGTTGTAGTCAAAATAAGATTTGGAATCTAGTGGAATCACATGATTCATGTACATTGGAAGTTTTAGGTCCCATCGATTACAACGTCAAATCGACACTGGTGACCTACGTTGACCACTAGTTAATTGAGGTTTGTCGGTCAACGATGGTTTGATCGATAGTCATCCACTGCCAATGGTTTTAGTAACCAATATATTTATATATTTTTTTTTTTAATTTATAAATAGTTTACGAAATTATCTATTTAATTTATTAAATATTGATTTAAGTTTATTTTGTAATTTGAAGTATTATGTATAGGTATATTTATCAATTTGTAATGTAATATTAGCTGCATCCGTCCAATCCAATCTATTCTTAGATTTTAAGAACGAAATTTCTTCCAATCCAATCCAAATTTACCTTTTTGCCATCTCTAGGGTGAAATAGTTCTAAACTCGTTTTAAAAGTAAATAACAATTAATTACCTCAATAAGTCATAACAATTATTTGAATTGTTGTAAGTAAACAAAAATAAAATTTCAATAAAATTTTTTTTGACTATATACAGAAGAACTCTTAATATTAGCCGCAAAGTAACAAAAAGTTAATGAATATTTGAATGTCAATTCATATTATTAATTGCAATTTGCCAATTACTCAATGGGTATATGAGCGGGTGAAGCCCAAACCCGAATAAAGAAGATGAGTCACAAGAAACGCGGGAGCCCACAAGGGCCCACTGACCATCCTCAGCCTCTTCTTATAAACTTGCCAGAGAAGAAATAGAAACCCAACAGAAGAAGCCTTGAAAACGACCAGAAGTCCCTTAAAATCCATCATCTCAAAGTTGGATTTACGTAAACTGGATTTTGTGGAATCACACTCAGAATCAGTAGCGTTTTGTTTTCTCTTGTGGTTTTTGTTATACGTTATGGTGGTTCGATTGATTTTAAGATTCTGAATTAAGTATTTGACTTGTCTGGAGTTTGAAAAGATGATGCTGCATTTTCGAGAACCAGCTAAGCTTAAAACCAAGAAAGTAATTATCTCTTTTCGTTCTTTGCCTTTGTGTTGTTTATGTGGATTTCTTATAATTGAATTGGATCTATTGTTATTTATTATTGATTTTCATGTGGTATGGTTGTTTCTTTTTTCATCATGTTAAGTTTATTGGGTTGTATTTGTTTTGGTTATTAACTTGTTTAACGATCAGTCTTGATGGTTTTTGGCATTAGATAGAATATATCCATGTATAGAAGATAAAATAAATTTGGTATTAGAGGTAATATTTCATGTATGGAAGATGGATTTTGAATTTGTTATAACATTGTATGCTCCCTTTGTGGAAGATGGGTTGATTGAATGGCTATTTAGGGCCTGTATGATATATTAGTGACGTGAACAGATTATTTTCGAGGACATATTCGCTGCGCGTGATTCTGCCACATTAGAGCATTTGAAGGAACTAAGTTGTAAGCGTAAAGTAATCGAGGATTCCATAAATCAGAGCAGCTATATTACAGAGGCCATTGCAAGAGAAATATCTGGAGGATTAACTTGTCCATTTCAACAGGTAATCTGATATAGACAGGCAAATGTTCTGTTTTCTGTCATACTATCATGGGAACTTTTCTCTCCATAATTAGATGAAACAATTCCATTTTTCTTTGACTGGCATATATATTAAAAACTGTACATCACTCTTCAAATTTGCGAGCACTTACCTTGAATTTAATGAATGAACCATATTAAGTGGTTTGTTTGTTTGGAAGTGATACTGGCAATTATCCCATTTGACAGTATGGATTAAGGTGATTAAGTGGTAATCTAATTTTCCATATATCGGAAACAAGCCTTTTTGGCTCTCATGGCCTATAAGAGAATTAATATTCTTTTCCGTCACTTCGTCTATGTACTTTTTCCCTTTTGTTGTCTTTTCGATGATTTTTTCAATGAATCCATGTTGTTTGATGATTTATGTGATCATTTGTAATTTTGCATGAGGTGAACATACCCCAAATGGTCTTATGCAGCCTTTAGCATGTTGTTCTGATTGTGTTTTACTTATTCAAAAATTATGTCAGGACCTCCACAAACTGGAACAGTATCTACCATTGCTGGAAAACTTGATTTTTCATGTTGATTTGGTTAGCAGCAACCAGCAGTTAGTTCAGTGGACTTCAGAACTCAAAATAAGATGGTGTAGTGCCCTTAGCTCATCATCTTTTTTTAATCTTTTGGGTCCCAAGTTTTATCAAATTGATAATTTACGGTTTGAGCTTGGTATGGTTCTTTTCCTCTATGGTGCAATACTTCGAGAGAGAGCTCTAGAGGTCATCCCGGCAGGTTGGCATTATTACTCATAAGCATGTTATTATTTCCTGAGTTTATTGATTAAGGCATTAATGACTCTTTTCATGTCATTGTAGATTTGGTGCAATCTGCTGCTCTCTTCAGAGAAGCTGCAGGAGTTTTTCAACATCTGTCTCAAGAGGTTTTCCCGTCTTTGCAGACAGCTTTGCCAGCTGAAAGGCCACCTGAAGCTACTTCATATATGTCTGATGTAATGAAATTAATTTGTCTGGCTGAAGCCCAGGTTGGTCTTGGACCGTCACATGTATTCTTGCTGTTGTGTATTTGTTATGGAATCATGGCATTCAAATTCCTTTAATCATTTGAGATAGTAATATCTAGTGGTTGATCCTTTTTTGATAATTTTTACTAATTAATAGAAGTTCTGAAGAAATTTTATTTTGTTTGCTAATTGATATGTTCTGAAAACGTAATAGGCAGTAACTATTAGGAAGGCTGAAGAAAAAGGAACTACTGTTGCTCTTTTGGGGAAGCTGCACTATGGTGTTGCAGAGATGCTTGGTGAAGCCACTGATATTCTATATTCATCAAATGGAGAGTGCAAAGATATTTCATCTCGCTTCATGGTATGTATGTTTATTGCATTATATTTTTTCTAGCCTCTATCTGATCGGGGATTAAGTGAAAAAAAAAAAAAAAAAAAAAAGGAAAGAGAAAAAAGTTAAGTTAATGTGCATTTTGTTAAGAAATTTTATTCATTCCTCTTTGTTTAATTGATGGCTTTACTTATCAGTTCATCAGAAAAGAGTTGGCTTCCTGACATGATAAATGATATAGAACTAGTAGAAGCAATGCACCTAACTGAAAATATGGAGGTGACCCTTATAGAGAAATCATACGGAGCAAGAAGGGGACTATATGAGTTGAAGCGATGGTACCCCCCAGCCCCAGGCCCCAGGTATGCTTCCTGGGGTAGAATCGTGGGGCTGGAAAGAAAAACAATTCAACGAAAGATTTTAAGTGAAATTAATGATACTGAAATGGATAAGTCTAAATACACGAAAATTTTCATTTGACAAAGTAGCGGATGTATCTAGATGGTGTTTTCTTGTATGTATTACACACAGACATTCACATACATATACATGTACATTCGTATCTGTAGGGTAAGGATCAATGTGTTTAAGCAATTATGGTATGTGCTATATTACCAATATGTTTGACCTACTAACTATTGGTAAATTTATCAAGATATGAATTTATTGGTGTACTTTATGGTAATTTAAATCATCTTTTTGAACCAAGACTTGGTTTTATTGAGTGTGAATCTATCAGGTGAGTCAAGGAAAATGATACAATGATAATTGGAGTTATTTTTGTATTTGAATTGTGTTTAAAATGTTTTATCTTGTTTTGTGTAATATTCAGTCTTATTTTTTAGGAAAAATATTTTTTTGCTCCTTAATAATGAACGTCCGTAGCTGTTCCCATGTAAATTTCATGCATCCAAATGAGTGAAAGACCTAAATAATATGATTTCATACCAGAATAACTCTGTTAACTCAACCTTCGTATACTTTCCGGACGCTCTTACTGCTCTCCAGGCAGCACATGATGTTTCCCTACTTTTTGCTTTGTTATTGATGATCTACTGACTCTTTGCTGTGGGAACAATGATTCTCTCCATGCCCTTGCATCTGCAATAGTCTGGTGCAATGCCATTCTATGTTGTTTGGTTTGAAAGAGTGAGTGGGAAGACAAAAATGTCTCTCTTATTCTTGTGATCTGTATTAATTAGGTGTAGCTTATCTTCATTGTGCAGGAATTTGTATCATCTTGCAAAGCTTTACATGAATTAAGGAGTCAGAAATACCTTGCAGAAAGTCTAAAGGTTACTTCCCAAGTTGGGGTTGCTATTGGAGTTATTCGTGATGCATTGCAGAATTCGAAAAAAAAAATGCCGGGGGAAGAACCACAGAAATCTGCCTTTAAAAAGGAAATCGATGCTGCTGCTGATCTCCTTATGAAGCTTGAACATGAGAATGAATTTGTCTGGTGTGATAAGATTGCCAGTGGTGATGAGTTGCCATCACTCCAAGGTAACAGAATCGTGAATGCTATTCCTTATTATCCCAAAAGATGGGAAAGAGAACTTGTTTTCAAGATATAAATAAATACTGAGAAATGCATTCTGTACAGAGCCTGTCCTGTTTGAAACCTTGAAGCCAAGGTTATTGTGCAGAAGGAGTGATGTAATGTTTGAGGGTTACCAACTTTAAAACATTCTTGTACATTTCTGGGATTGGCCGATGAGAAGAAGACAGCTCGATTTGTTGTTCGGTCGAGTTGAATGACCCAAGATTTTGTGATAATTTTTTATGATTGATTATACTGGTAGGCTCTCCCTGCTCACTACTTAATGGAAACATTGAGTGGAAACATTGAGTGCTAATGCTCCTATGGCTTTCTTATTTTGTCATCAAAGCTACACTCCAGAGCATCCACAAGAAACTTGGAGTTGCGGATGATGAGTTCCCTTTATTCAATTAAAGTCTGGTTTATATTTAAGCTTTTAGAAGTTATTATCAGTCTGGCAAGATATTTCATTACTAGTAAAGTGGTGATCAACAACTTTAATTTTTTGGGAAATTAGCCATGAAAAAGGTTACATTGACAGTACAACATAATCAAATTAATTTCTCTTTTCTCACTTGTTTCTAATAAATTCTTTTCATATTGATCACATATAACCGAATGAAAATCCCACTCGTTTACTTTTACCATTGCATATTTCCCTCTATTAATACTTCCCTTTATATATAACCACACAAAACTCCAGAAAATTCAAATGCAGAATCAAAACGAAGTTTTATGTGCAAATTAAGATAGTGGTTAGTGGGTCAGCGTATGCCAAGTGGCAGAGTTGAAGCCGATTGAGCAAATTCATGTTGTTTAAAGAGAAAAATAAAAATTAACAGAAAAATACAAGACACTGAACTCAAGTGTGAAAAGTAATACCATGTTCATGGCTATTCACTGCAACACATTTCCCATTTCCATCAAACCATGCAGAACGAGAACTACACTTTCGTCTCCATTGTCAACCACCCGTTTAACTTCAGTTTCTCACAATCCGAACCGCATCAATAACGTTGCGCTCAAGCTCTCAACTCCCAGCCCCAGGTTCATTTCTTATATACATAATACATGTACGAATTGTTGTGCATATGTAAGACTATGTAGTTGTGAAGTTCATGCTGTTTTCACAGGTTAAGTAAGGTTGTTTCTGCTGTGACTTCCGAAGAGAGTGCAGTCGGTTCAATTAATTCTGGTACTGATGTGTTTAAACTCACGTACTTAGAGGTGGGTCTTTCGTTTTCTTGAAGTGGGTTTTCTTTAAAATTGATAAGTTTGGAGTTTCCGTGGAGATATAACTGTTAGAATTGGATAATTTTTTGAATTTGGTTGATGTGGAGGTTTTGGTTAAGATATTTCTGTTGAATTCTTGGTTTAGGGAAATAGTTGGTTGTGGGATGTTGGTGGTTTGAAAATTTTGGTTGATCCAATCTTGGTGGGCAACTTGGATTTTGGAATTCCTTGGCTTTATGATGCTGCCAAGAAATTTTTGAAGAATTTCCAGGTACTTTTGTAATTGCACTATAACTACTCATCATCACCTCTTGTATATCCTAAAAATTATAGTTTGGTTTTATAAATTTCTGGGTTAATGTTAAGGAAGAGTCTCATAAAAAGAAGCTTTTGCTCTTTCAATCATTGATGCAATGAAAAATTGCATCTATATGATTTTATGGACCATATGCAGTCAGTTTTTGTACTTGTTAAGAGTCTTCCCTAATGTAGTGAAATTTAATGAGCTTATTCTAATTGGCATGCAACTTTAGTGCAGCTTAGTGATCTTCCAGAAGTTGATTGTTTATTGATTACACAAAGCCTTGATGATCACTGCCATTTAAAGACGTTAGAGCCGCTTTCTAAAATGTCTCCAAATCTTAAGGTCATTGCTACTCCTAATGCCAAGCCATTGCTGGATCCCCTTTTTAATAATGTGAGTGATACAATTCAAATTTCATGTTTTTCATTTATTTATTTTTGGTGATATGTAATCCTTTTAATTGAAATCTGAACATTTTGTTTTTGCAGTTGGTCCAATTCTAGTTAATGAAATTGAATGGCAGTTGAAATAAAAATGATAAAGTTAATTGAGTTCTGTTCTTGTCATAGGTTTTTCAAAATCTTGCTTCTGTGTAGTTCTTGCTAATGACATTGTTGGCTGTTTGAATATAGTTATAAATTTTGCTCCCAATGGCTAGTTTTATCATTCAATGTTGAGGAACTGTAATGAGTTTTCCGTACAAACTGATGCCTTCTTGATGAAAAAGAAGAGATCTCTTGTTTAATTTAATTTACATTATGCCCAGTAGATAGATAAATGGCTGGGTGGTTAACCTCACTTTGGCCGGTATTAGCAATCATTATGCTATTGAATTCAGTGGGCATTCTTGATAAATCATAGTTACTAAACTATTATAACTCTTACGGGTTAACCTCACCTTGTCTCCGTTCTCAAATAATAATGATATTCTGTAATTTATATTGAACCCACGTGGCAATTGGATTTTTATGGAGCAATTATGGTCATTTTACGACTAACTGTTCAAGGGAAAACTAGAAACAGGGGAAACGAAATGTGTGATGTATAATAAAAATGAATAATGTTCGACATGGGTCTCAGTTATCCAAATTCGTGATATAATATATCAAATAAATCCTGTTGTCTAGTTTCCAAAATTTAAAACGCTGCATCAATTGGATTTTTATTGAGCAAGTTATGGCTAATTTATTACTAACTGTTGCAATCTATAGTATAATGATAATGGTGACATTGGTCTCTTGTATTCTATAGTACAATTTCCTTGATATTTATTGATTGTATTTCGTCAGCAACTTGCTTGCAACAATTACGATGAAGCATGAAAAAATCTTCATATAGTATTATACTAAAAGACATTACAATATTACATAGTAATGGATAATGTTGGCAAAGGTTCATTGTAAATGTACTGTACAATTTAAATAGCTTTGCATCTCGACATCTTACAATAAAAAGAATGGTTCAGCAGTGACTACAATTATAGATTTTCAGTAATCCTAATGGCATCATATTCAGATTTTCAACAATCTACATGGCGGCAATAGAAGAGTTGCCTCAGAGCCGCGCGTTGCGGTAGTTATAAAAAAAATTTTACATTATTTTTAATGTGTTGTGGGCATTAACTTATTATATTAGAATTGATTGAATCATTAAAGAAATAAATAAAAAAATACTGAGTATAAATTGTCAATTTTAAAATATATTAACGTAGGTGTAAAAAATTTATTAATTACAAGTTGAAAATTATTAACATTTACTAATCAATGTGAGTATTATCAAGCAATCAATATCGTTTTAGAATGGCTGGCGTAGAAGTGTATAAGGACCATTTTTTATAAAGGGGTAATTTTTCCACCAACTTTTGAATTTATATGGTACCTCTGCTTTTGATACCATACAAGAAGTTCATGTTTTAATCAACTGTGTCACTTTCTCCAACACAAAATTAAAAAAAAAAAAAAAAATCACATGAAATCTGTGCACAACTTCGTCCAGGTTTGGCTAGCCAGCATTTTGTTATTCTAATAGTCTTTCCTTTTAGATGATGAGTGTTTTTTTTTTTTTTTTTTTTTTAAGCTCTTTAGTTGTTTTCACTTACCTTGAACTGAAGATGTGGACTCAAAAGTATTTGGATTCAGAAGTGGTGGTGTAGAAAGTTGTACTGAGGATCACTTTGATAGTTGATTAGTGAAAATGCAAGAATTGATGAACTTCTTTGATGGGTGCCAAATGTTATCATCAATGTTGAATGCGCGCGCTTGAGCTTGTTCTTCAGGTTGGGGACTGAAGAGTTCAACGGAGGCATGCCTGAGAAGTAGCTACTTTATGCGTCACTAGTGTGTGTTCGTTGTTGAAAAAGGCTTGTCAGAATCTCGAAGTGAACATGGAGCGGATTAGAGCTTCTTGATTCATTTTGATCTGCTAATAGAAAATTACTCAACATTGAGTAATCCCCTGGCGTCTAGTAAGTGAGAGAATAAGAAGAATTTTGAGACCTCAGGTGCTTGTGGTTTGGAGGACTTCTAAGGATTGGTAAAAGGGTAATCTGGATAAATTGTTCTTCTTCTTGATCACTTGTGCTGCATTTGATGTTGGCGAAGACAGATGGGAATTTCGATAGATCGGAAAGAACCCAATCATCTAACTAGACAAAGAGAGAAATACAAGTCAAAGTCATAGAGAAATTAGCTGCAATGTAAACATCTATAATATGCATTCTCTTTAGTGCTGGAAGTGTTTTCAATTGATTGCTTGCTTTCCCCGTCACCTTGTGGTAGCATTTCAGAAATCAACCACCTTGAGAGCATAACCGACTGGAGAAAAATTGCATACCCAGTATCTCCCGATCAACTTGTTGTAGCATTTCGAAATCAACCAACTTGAAGAGCATTTACCCCGACTTAGGAAAAACAATGAACCCCTTGTACTGGGTGTTATCGAGCGAGCGGCAGAGTTTAGGCTTAACGAGTCGCTCGATGAAAGAGGAAAGACCTAAACGAGCCGAAATAAGAGTCTTCGGGGGCCGAGCGGAGCCATAAATATATGACTTGGCCGGCTCGATAATAGTTTTAGTTTAACATATTTCAAGCTGGCTCGCAGCCAATCCAAAAGAATTATGTTTTTTTTTTAATTCAATTATAAATAAACAAAAAAAAAAAAAATTTATGGGGCAGCAACTATGCTCTGATTGTCTGCTAGCTTTTAATTCAATTTTTTTTTTATTTCATTTTTTTTTTAAGATCCGACGAAGAATATTGTATGCCATGGCGATGATGATTCTTCAAACTTGGTTAGGACTCTACAGTAACTCCCATATTATTTTAATGTGAATGCTGTGTGGACCTTGGGAGCCCAATCAGATAAAAAGCAAAAAGTTTAACTGTTTGGCTTTTTGGGGTGATGATGAGGCCATTTGATTCCTCATCTGTGACTTACCTTTATAAACTAATAACACTCTTGCTAACAAAACAAACCCAAAACAAACAAACCATCGAAGATGAAGAAGATTCGACGAAGAAACCCCTACTCACCGCTTAAAGTCCGAGAAAATCCCACAAAGATGATGACGATCCGCGAAAGATGATGAAGCTTGGACCGAAGATGACGAAGATTCGACGAAGCTCGGATGAAGATGACGAAGTTTTGACGAAGATCAGAAGACGCTGATGAAGATCCGCGAAGCTGACGAAGATCGGACAAAGCTTAACAAGATCACATGAAACTGCGAAACATATTTGCTGAAGATGGAAAAAACCGTTAGTGGGTCTTTGGGAGGAGTTGATTCAAACTTTGATGGCAAGGTTATACTGGTGAAGGTTCTATGATTGGGGTTTTAATACCGGGGTTATTTGTTATTTTTTTAAAACTTGTATTGCATTACTAATCCCAATAGTTAGAAACTTTTCAAAAAAAAACCCCTAGGTGTTTCATAGCAGGCTCGGCTCGCAAGCCTAACGGTCGAGCCTAGCATGAGCTCGAACTCGGCTCGGTTGGTATAACGAGCAAAGTCGAGAGGCTCGTTATCAGACGAACTCGAGCCGTCAATGAGCAGAGCCGAGCCGGCTTCGCGAGCGGCTCGAGTTCGTGAGTTAAACAGCCCTTACCTGTACCAGAAAGCTACTTCCTCGTTACTATTGAAAAAAAAAGTACTTTCAGTAAAAAACTGATAGAATTATGAAGCCTACGGTGTCAGTTGTATTAGTGGGTAGATTAATCCTAGACGTTGTGTCAAGACAGATTGTGTGGCCACAATTTGGCTGATGCGTCAGGATATACAAAGAGGGTAAATAGTTGGAAAATGATATCGAGTCTTTTTTCTCTGTTGGTGCAATTTTGTTGTTGGATAAGCGGTAGACCTGGCAAACGGGTCTTGGACCGCGGGTTGGACCGTACCCGGGAAAATAAATAGGGGTACGGGTCCAATTTATTAAACCCATTTTTTAGGACCCGTACCCGTTACTTGGCCCTAAACCAAAATGGTTTATACGGTGTGAAACCCGCGGGCACCCGTATTTGCCAGGAAATCAACTTGTTAATTTTGTGAATCCCTAATTTTTTTCACGCCAGCACAGCAGACGCTCACGCTTCACTCTCTCAGCTCATACTCTCAATCTCGTCTCTGATCTGATATCTCAAACTCACCATCTCTGAGCTCTCACTCCATAGTTCTCATCTTCATCTTCGGATCCTAACTCTCAGATTATCAGCAACTTATTGCGGCGGCCGCATCTCAATCTCCGCGTTCATCTTCGTCTAAGTTCAACTGAATCAAATACCTTATCTCGGGGTCCCATCTTCGATAATAGTCAGTTCATCAATCGGTCGGACGGTAATGAATCCCTAACCACTTATTCGTGTGTTTGTTTTGGTTTTTGCACAGATTTTTGTGTTTTCTTTTTTGTTGATATGGGTAATATTTTGTATTTGTAATTTTTGTTTGTGAGGATTAATGTTGTTTACACTTATATTGTTGTCTGGTTGAGACTGTCCCTGTACGTAATCTGTAGAGTTGTTTGGGTTGAGTTGTGTTTGTGTTTGTGTTCCGGGTTGAGTTGATGGTGTTTTCCTCTTACAGATTATTACACGATATAAAGATTAAAGCAGGCTTCCAAGTGCCAAGTAAAAGAACTGTGAAGTGTGGAAGGATAACCTTTTGGCAATGCAAATCGAACTACCCCTTCTTCAGCCGAATCCTATCTTGATACAGAGGTACTAAAATTTCAGTACCAGTATTGATGTATCATGTATGCAAATACAACCATGTTGCAGATTAAATGTTTGAAATTTTGAAAGGAAATAACGAGTGAAGACACTTGTGGTTTAGAACATTGATGCATTGATGTTTGGTTTGTGGAAATCCTTTATAGTTTATAAGATGATAGTATGGTGTAATTGTGTATTTAGACCTGCACAATGTGTTTGTGGTTGTTATGGATTGGATTGTTGTTGTTTTGTGGAAATCCCTTATACGATAATTGTTTTCTTGAGCAGAATTTATAGCATAAGGTGATATCACATTTAGACTTTCATGAATTTTGGCAACAGGAAATGACAAAAGAATGAAATAATAATTGGAAGAGAGATCATTATCTTTGCAAAAGAATGAAATAACTAAATTTGTGTTGATTGACTGCCTGGATGAACCCAGGTGGAAGTTCTTAAATGGAGCGAATTAATTAAAAAACATTAGCCTCCAAAATGGACCTTGATTCAAACAACTCCATACGACTATATGAGCAATGTGTTTTGTATTGTTTTATGGATCATATTAAGAACAATTAGACATGATGATGTGTTGTTTATTATAATACAGTAATTAAAGATAAA